AGAAATCCTACACCGAAAACTCACTCGGCCGTGAAAGGGCAAACTCTTGGGCTTAGGCGGTTGTCCCTCCTTTCGCGCGCTCCTAGCCCCCAGGATTTCGCACGGCCATTTTTTTCTCGTGAATTTCTTTTGCGTCATGCATGACGGACTAAGCGAAAGAGGGACTACTCGTAGTCTACTGGCAAACAGATCGGAAAGTTTGCTTTGATAATGGGCTACTGTTCTAAATGTCACATTTACCACTTTGCTTAGATCTATCACAATGATTTTGCCAACTCTTTGGTCATTTAACAACAGTAAAACTATACCTAAGATTTAATGATACACAAAATGTTTTAGAACAATACAATAAAGATACTATGAGAATGAGTGAAGGAAGAACAAAATGCAGTTAGCTTTGAGCCAATTTCCCAAGACAATCAGGGCTTGAAAAAAACTTGAATTCAAGTGTGCCCTTCGGACAAGCAGCTCTCAAAGTTTACTTGTCCTGGGCAAGTCTTAGTTCACTTTTTTATAATATACCTAGTTGGCAGACAACTTGCCTGGGCCCTTGCCCACTGGGCAAGTGAGAATGAAAATTTTCTTGCCTGGTGGGAAAATCTAGTTCTCCCAGACCACCAGACGGCACTTTTTTTTCTAGCACTGACAATGACGAAATTTGGAAACACTTGCTAGACCTTTTCAATTTGAAACCACCACATACTATACAGTTGTGCATTCATAACCCATTACAGGCTGAGCAGTCAATTTATGACGTCAGTGATTTCTAATAGGGCTTGACAATTATTTTTATACAATCATGGGAAATCATTACTCACAAACTATTATCAAAATATACTAATATAAGCTACAAAAATCAACTGGTTTACATGAATTCAAGGTGTGGGTTTTTCTTATTGTAAAGCCCCCTTAACGGTTTCATCTGTCCACCATAACAGTCTCTTTTCTATTCAAATATTTTGTCTCTACTGGGATTGTCACAAACATTTGAAGTACGCAGCTTTATTGTTGGATTTGCAGCCAATTTTGCCAAGATAAACCAGATTATTGGACGTATAGCATCACTGTTACAGCTTGCTCAAAGGAAAAAAATTGGTTTGCTTTGCATGCTGACACTGCCGGTTTTAGTCGTGGATTCAAAAAGTAAACACTTGATGATGAATTTGATGATCAATAAAACCTCAAGAAGTTTCCCTCAAGGTACATTCCTTCCTGCCTATTCTTCCTGGGGAAAACATGTTGTAGAAGTATGCAAGTTTGTTGCATTTTTTCAGTTATCTCCACCATACAGTTCAATTTTCTTTAACAGCAAAGAAATTGAAAGCTACAAAAATAAGTGATAATTATTATCACCACATGGTCATATTTTTTCATACACAATGCAAACCAGTGTTCCATTAGATCGCCTGGAAAAAAAATCCATTCCAACAATTTCATTGTCCGGAATCAGTAGTAGTGCGGCAGAACTCTTCATTTAATAAATGAGTTTATTTGATACCGGGGTCATGTTCCTGTTAAGTCACCGTCAAACATAAATTAAGGGTGGCATGATGGACGCATGATGTCCGAAATGGACCTGGAAGACAACTTTCAATATTGTGGGCCAGAAGCAGTGAACCGCACAGAGGACAGAACACAAAATATTATAATTAATTATACAATGTATTTATTTATCATGAAAGATAAAAATGTCAATAATTTAACAATTGGGTTACTTAACTTAATTCCAACCTCTTAGGACGAATATGGTTAGAGCTGTGCTATAATTCTAAAGTATGCTTTGGCGGGAATCCAAATAAAACACCAATATATTTTATGTAGCCATTATGTTGTCCTTTCACATTAAAAACTCCACAATCACGCTACAAATATGGCCACGCAAGATTCTTGAAATGCAGACGCGATTTTGAATGTTTAGAATAAAAGAAATCTTGTTGAAAGACTTGTAATATATTTTTAATTCTATACTGTCAACGATCAGTGCTTCAAAATCGCCCAACGATCACGAAATTTTCCGACTTCCTCTTTTGTTTTAGCTTACACTAAGCTTACCCAAGGAGGTAAAATTTTTCGAAAGGTAACTTACGGTGAATGTAAAATAGCTTCGCGATCTGTCTTCGAACGAAATTAATTTCATCTCGTTTCACACAATTTTTTTATTCTTGCATCAAAGGGCGCCAAAATAATGGCGGTAAACGAGTCTTCGAAATCAAGTTTGCGCGCTAGAAACACGCGTCCAAACGATGAACGTGCGAAGAACTCACAATTTTTTTATTTTCTTCGCTCTAGAGGAACAATTGTGTTAGATTAATGAAGATTTAATGGGACCTTACGGCACTACGGGCTGGTTGTGTGAAGATCTGGAATAAAATGCTGTCGCAGCATGTCCCGCGAGATTAAGGGAGCTGCGATGGAATTTATTCGTCGTCCCGCGCGAATGCCTTTCTCACATGAGATAATTTCCCCTTTATAGTTGTACTTACTTCCACTGAATGCTATTCTTTGATTTCTTCTCTATCAGTCCGATTCCTTCAAGAACATTTGTAATGTCGTAAATTCGTCGCTTTTGTCGTACAGCTAGAGTATCTGCCGCCTAAAATCGACAAAGGTAAACACTTCAAAAGGTGAATGCTAAATGCAATGGGGGCACAAAGGAAAGCCAGCCGAACACGAAAATCTCTTCTTTCGCGGGTTGGTAAACCCGGATTTTTCCATATACTCACCACTTTAAGATCTAAGACACCATCCTTGGCTTCTTGTAGTAAACTAACGAATTTTGTCGTCAACAAACCGAGAGATTTTTCATGTCTGCTTGGCGTTCCCGGAGAACCGAAATCCGCCATGATAGCCGAGCTGCATGCTGCAGAAAGACAGTGCGTTGATGTGATTGGCTAATAGTGAAATTTAAATAGTGCGCCCGTTGGAGTCCCCTTTGATGCGGTATTTTGAGCCGGGGAGGGCTACTGAGATATTTTTTCTTGTCGTATTATTTACCATTTCTCTGCAATTTTAATGACTGAAGAAGATCTTTTCAAATATGATATAGAATATTCTATCCACAAAGGAGAGGATTTTGCTTAAAAACTCTTGAACGGAACAACTATGGAAGAAAGAAAATCTAAAGTTTCCCCCTACCCATGTTGGTTTACTCGGCACTTTTTCGTTACCAGGGTCCCAAGACAGAGTCGTCAGTTTTTTCCCGCGCGCGGGTTTTTCTGGGGACCGCACCTCAAGGTCAAGGCGAATTTCGAGAAGTGCTTCTCTATTTCTCTTAAAATATCAACATTTTACAAGTTTAAAAGAACGTTTAAGGTACAGTTCAATTTTCATCTTTTCATAGCCAGGTTGTAATTCTATTTTTAAGCCTTTTTTGCCGAAGGAAAACCTTTATTTCTTCTCGGCAGGAGGGGGTTTCCCTGTTTTTTTTTTCGGAGCATGTCTGATATGATCCAGGTAGATCATTAACAAATTCAGCTTTTATTACAGGTCTGGAAATTTTCTGGGGAAGAAAGCGGAACAATTAACCATTATTTCCATTGTCATTTTCCCATCTGAATATTTTTCCAGGAATAGTTAGGTATAGGCCAAAATCACCAAATGAAAAATAGTCACATCAGATTATTCTAATTTCCCAATGTAAATAAACAGTATTGTTGGCACATGTCAGGAAATGGTCAGGAAAAAAAATTCTTCAAGGTGAGGGAGAAGTCTGAGAATTTATTTTTGAGTCCGGGAAAATTAACACGAGTTTTGAGGAAAAGTCAGGGAAAATGGAAATTAACTCATAACACTGCTGATCAAGTGTGATACATTGAATTTAAATAAACAAGGTTTCAACAACAACAACAAAAAAATTAGAAAAACATTTTTGAGATCAAAGTGACCTGATACTTTAGGTCACTGTGACCTCAACAATATTTTCCTTACATTACCAGTATCAGTAATATTAATGGTGCTGAAGTACGCATTATGGCTGTATAGGGAGGCTGGAGGCTGCTACCAGGTCCTGGGGGTGCTATATAAGGTAGGGTTTTCAGCTGTTTTGGTCATGAATAGGGTATCAATTTTGGCCATTTTGGTTATAAATAGGGTATGTTATTTTGAACTCTAGTCTTGAACTGGGTATGTTTTTTAGAATAAGCCATAAATAGGGTAGGGAAAATTGCAGATTTTGGTCATAAATAGGATAAGGGTTTTGGGAAGTGGGCCACACACCACCACCCAATTTTTCTGGGAGTACCCTCTCCCTTGGTTACCTCCAGAATTAAATTCACCGAGACAGACACCCGAGTAGAGAGAGGTACTGTGACAGTAATGGGTCTTGCTCAAAAGCCCAAAAGAATGACTATGCCCAAGGCTAGCCCATATAGCAAGTGTTCCCCTACAAAGAGCAAAGCTCTTTGTATCAGAACACTTGCTATGCAGGCTAGCTCAGGGCTTACATTGTCATTTTCCCATCTGAATATTTTTCCAGGAATAGTTAGGTATAGGCCCTTACTCAATCTAGAATCCAGCCAAGCACACTAACCATCAGGTCACCGGTCACCAAAAGTGATCACCCAAGACTAAAAATCAGAGCCAGGTCACTCATCCTAATTTTCTACTCTAAAATAAATAATTATTTTCACTTTTTTTAGCTTGTGATTGATTGTGTTTTTCCTTCTCTTGAATAGAATGCTAGTCCATTATGGTCTAATGCTCTTGACGTATCTCTTAACTAATAGCCTTTACAGTCCAATTCCTGAGTCAAGCGAGGGATAGTGAGAGTGACGTTCCCTTTCAAAGGGCTGGCAAATGGTCTTCTGTCTGTAAAATGCATGCCTTGCAGAACTGAAGTCAAATTTCATGGCGTGAAGCCATCTCAAATTGTGTAGTTTCAGAAAAAAACATACTTTGCCTTTGAAAGTCATCGGAAGTTCCAAATGGGTGGAGGTCTTTTGCAATGTAAAGAAAGTCCCGGGTTGACAGAAAAGATATTAGTCTCACATTTACCATGTCACACCTTTAAATCATAACCGGTGTTGCCAGGCTCTACCACTATATAGCTCAACCTCCCTGAGCCACTGGGAGTATAGAGAATACAATATAGACTAACAGGTCTGTTTTTTGTGCTCCTTCCCATTCTTCCAAAGACTCCAAGAATGTGTCGCAAAAAAATTGAGACAGCAAGACATGAAAATTTGACTAAAATTCAGTGAGACACCTACAATTTGAAGGACCATTTGCCACCCCTATAGAACTTTTGGCTATATTCACCATCTTTTCCTAAAGAAACAGACTATAAGCCCAGTAGAGTAGCTGGCTAAGACCATGAAGTAGATGGTGATTTCCCCTGCAGCTGACCACTTTTTGAGAAACCTGCCTGAAGTTTGGAAATGCCATTTATTAATTGCTATCTGGTACAGCTATGGTAAAAAACAAATTAAAAAATATAACAAAACAAAACAAAACAGGAAGTAACATATTATTACTGGTAAATGTTTCTACTCCAGAATTTGATAAATGCAAATGAGGACAGCAAGATCTGGGATGAAAGCTGGCCGTTCACCTCAGCTTATACAGTAAAGGTAAGGTTAAGTCTGCATACGAGCCGAAATGGCCCATCAGGCTGGAGCTTATCCCAGTTTCTGTAGCATGAAGCGACTAGGAGTATTTCTGCTCCTCCCTGGATGGGATGCTAGTCCATCACAGAGTTACCCCCAGCATTAAATCTGCCAATACCCATTTATACAACTGGATGGAGAGAGGCACTGTGAGTGTCTTGCCCAAGAACACAACACAATTTCCCTGGCCAGGGCTCGAACCTGGACCGCTCAATCCAGAGATGAGTGCACTAACTATGAGACCGCCGTGCCTCCCACCAGCCGGTACAGTACAGCATCTTTACGGTTGATTTTACCGTGACAAACAATAGGGGTGTGGTAAATGGTCCTTAGAATTTTGCCAAGTTTTACAGGTCTTGTCACCTTCAATTTTATTGTGACATTATCAAACAGTCTCAATTTCTCTTGCAAGGCTGAAGAGCTCTTAACCTTTCAGAAAAGATGTTAATTCTCATTGACTCACAGTCTCCATTGTTATCAATTGCCATCCCTGAGTAACTATGGTCAGTTCATGATTAAATAGCTAAAAGAAAAGGGGTTTATTGTTATAGATCTACAGTAAATCCTTGAATTAGCGCCCAGGGTGCTTATATCAAATTTAGGAGAAGACAGGGGGCGCTTATTTTAAATTTCGGCTGATAGGAGGGGCGCTTATTCGAAGAAGGCACTTATTTGAGGGGGGGGGCGCTAATTTGAGGATTTACGGTAATTATAACTGTACTAATTTGTGTTGGTCTCATGATCTTGAACATTTTTAATTATGCATTCTGTCTAATAAAAAAAAAACAACAAATAAATAAATAAATTACGAACAATATTTGGAGAGAAAGCCATGGTTTTTATGTGGGTTCTTTATCCTGGAATTGGAATTTAGAGATGTTGGTTTTGCAGAGGGAGGGAAACCAGAGTTCTGTAGAAAAACCCTCAAAGCAAGGTGAGAACCAACAACAAACTCAAGCCACTTATGGCACCAGGCCAGAGTCAAATCTGGACTACATTGGTGGGAGGCAAGCTTGCGCTCTCACCAGTGTGCCATCCCTGCTCCCCTGTTCCCATTTGATGTCCCAAAGCTTCCCTCCCTATAAAAATATCCAATGAACCTCTTTGAGTAGGCATGTAATTTTTTGAAGCCACAAAAACGTTTTTGCTCTCTCGAGCTCAAGTTCTCAATTTCTCTTTCATTTTCTGCTATCAAAGTCAGTTGAGTTTCTGTATAATTATGCAAGCTGTGAATAAAGTAGACTCAAAGTGGCAAATGGCAGAGGCCTTATATACTCTGCTGTGAAGTAGACTTTCCCAAAGAGCTTTCTATTGTTATAATAATTTATTAAATTTTCGTACATGTTTACCACAATAGCCATTCCTTGAGCCCACCTCTCCTCTCACTTGGTGATACAATCTTGTGGCTTGGCTAGGGAACAAAGCTAGGTCATGTTGTATTAGAAAAAATACACATTAACCAAATGCCTCCATTTCCTCCTCTAATTTTGTACACACTGTATCTGCTGTGACCATTGAAATTAAACCAGCCTTGAGGGAGCTCGGTTGTTATACCACATGTGACATCATCCCCTCTTTCATGCCAGAAGATGTATTTGATCATCAAGTGATAAAATGGAAAAGGCCTTTTTATTTTAATTTATTTCATGCACAACAAATTACTTTACAATAACGTAATAAAAGGCCTTTTGAATTAGCCTAAATGAGCACCATTGCATGATAAATTTAGCTACAGGTAGAAGCCATAAAACTATAAAATGTTCCTTCCAAAATCAAAGATACCTTGACCCTCTCTACCAGTCAAGAACAAATTATACCTGTTGTACACATCCAAGTTGGAAATGAAGCTATTGGCCCCAAAATAAGAGAGCTAGTCTCCTGTGGCATTAATGGCTGCAATCAGTCTTGGGAAGTCAGAAATTTGCACCTGTACACCATTACTAGTGGCTGCTTTTATAATCCCAAGAATCGACGAGTTAAATTTGCTTTGATGTGGCAGTTATGCTTATTTAAGGGTGAGGTGCTTATTAAATGATCATAAAGAAACCTTTTAATTAACTCTCATTATGGTTTTCCCCAAAACGACCAGGAGTTTAAGCCTTGTCAAATAAGTGCCACCTGCAAGCTCAAGCGTTTTGAATAACTTAAGTGCTGCAATGTTGTTCAGGTCAGTGGGTGACATAAGTCAGACAGACAGGTAGAGAGCAGTTTGTAGTCTAGTATTTTAGTGGTTATTGATAATTTTTGTCCTGGGTAGTGCTTCATGGGAGGTGTTCAATTGGGGAGTATTTTTTTAGTGCATGTATATACATTAGTCACATTCTCCAATGATAAATACTGTACATAAAATTCCAGTAAACCCACAGTGTAATTCTCAAAATAGGCTATAACTTAACGTAACGTCAAGGGCTTTGACCTTTATTTGTTTACCTCTTGTATCCGTCATTATGAGGAGGTTTCATGCAATAACCTCTGTGCTTCACATGTTTGTTTCCTTCCTCCAGCTTGAAACCAGTAAATGGAAAACATCTTTAGATAATGCTGGATGTTAATCTCAACTCATCTTCTATCAGCTCTTTTTCATTTTTCTT